CCTAAAAAAATCGAGTTCCGCACTTGAGGGCCGTGGATGTATAAGTTTAAAGCTCAAATTATTCGATCAGCTGTTGGTGGGTAATGTTGACTACTAGAGGTAAGTGATAGACTTACCTCTAGCCTATCACTTAAAAATTAGGAACGGCTAATGCATATAACTGTCGAGTAGCTTTGCATGAAACTCTGCCAACCACATTAGGTAGATTAAAAATTAAATACCGGGTAAATAAATATGTGTTGGGTCGGTAGATGGCGTTGGAAATTAATACGAGATATTGTGATCTTTAGTACACTGGAAGTAAATATTGTACAAATCAACGAAAGTTATGTAGGAGTATATATATGGATTTAAAAAAAAGTGGTTTGTTTCAATTTGTAAAGAGCTCTAGTAAGTAAAGTAGCTCATGAAGCTTAAACATTCATTTGGTACATTTTAAAAACTGAAAATTTAAGCAATATTCCTCATCCTGAATAGTTGCTCGGTGGAAACATCATCGAGTTAAATTTAAATATGAGCTTGTTAAGAAATCAATAGGAAAGTAATGATATTTAAAAATGATGAGGTTCCTGCACCAGATAATATTTCCTCAAGGGTTTAGAAGGACTTTCTAATAATTTTTGTAAGTGCTTCAACAGTGGACAGGTATCAGGAGATATAATTAAGAATGAGTTAGCTAATTAACGTTAGTGTTACATAAGCAGTAACGTCTTCAATTAATGCTAAAAGGCAAGACTTCCCCATTAGTGAAATCATGTTGACAATCCAATTAAACCGAAACTTTGTTGAATGGATTTGCAAAGTAGCTTTAAGTTTAACACTTTCAAAAACTTTTCCTATCACTCATGCAACTGCAAGACTAATATGCTTGGAGTTGAAGGGAAGAAAACAGAGGGTTGTTATAAATGGAATTTAGTGAAATTGTATTAATATCACAAGTGGGGTACCTTAGCCTACGGATCAATGTTAAGACCTTTGCTCTTTTTGCCCTACTACTAGTACTAATACTAGTATTGGATGCTTCACCTTTATAAAAGGATTTAGTTTATTTGGCGAGTTAGGTGAATAAATGGAAGATGGTTTTTATTTATAATAAATGTCAGATAATGCTTGCTGATTATTATAATTTTAATGAGAGTAGCTTAAAGTTTAATGTTGTTATGGAAGAAAAAGAAACTCAATGTTTTGGTTGATCTGTTTCTTAAGTCATTCAATTTTCAAATAATGTTGTGTTACTAGTAGTAGGGTATATAGTTTTTGTTTGTATTTATAGAAATATTGAATATATATATATATATATCTAAAAAATATATAATTTAATTGTATAGGTTGGAGTTTTGTGTTCCTTAAGGACATTGAGTTGTTGGAAAGGGTTCAGAGGAGGGCTACTATAATGATATTTGGGATGGAAAGGTTGTCATAAAAGGATAGGTTGAGATGTCTGAAATTTTTTTATCAATGGCAATAATAGTAGTGCATCATCAGGTTCTGTATTTAATGGTGAGAATTGTTGGACAAGAGGACACAAATATCAATTTTTGAAGAATAAATCATCATCGGCTTGGACAGTTTTACTTTTCGAACAAGATGGTTGGACTTTGGAATGGGTTGAATCAAGATGGTCTCACAAAGATTTGTCAAAATAATTTGTGTTAGAGATTTTAAAGTATGACAAGTTACTTTATTTATGCTGAAATTAACCATATTAACCAGTTCGTATTGGAGGTTAGCAATAAGTAAAACAGTATTGTTCCTAGTTGGTTCCCTAACCATTTGGTGAAGAAAACCATCCTGAATAATTTCTAAAAACCTGTCGCCTTCATTGTTTAACATTTCCCAATCTATATGGCTGAAATTTCCCATAATTATAACCTTATTAACAGTTGACTTCTTTATCTCACTGTAGAGTTTCATCAGTTTCATCTGGTGATTTGTAAAAATTCCAACTAAAAGCCTTCTCCTCTTATGACCACTAACAGAAACCCAAATAGATTCAATCTCATAGCTGTTATCTGCGACATCTTCAACTTCAACAGGATATAATTCACATTTTACATATAAACCCACTCACCCTTTTTGTTGTCGCACCCTATCCCTATCAAATAACTTAAAACCAGACATTTCAATGAAATATTTGTCATCAAAAATTTCTACATCTTCCCATATGTCAGTTATTGCCATTACATCAAAATGCTCTAAAGTCATGTATTTAATATTTATATTATGTCACAACACAGTAACTGTTTAGCCTACCCTTAAAACTATTTCTGTACTTTGCTCCTACACTACAGTTTTATTTATATCTATTTTTTTCTGTATTTTGTTTATCATGGCCCTCAACACTGTCTAGCCCTAGTTTAAAGCTGCCTTTACAGTTGAGTTAATAGATCTTACAAACAAGCCAGTCTCCTTTCTCTATTTAATTGTAAATCAGCCATTCCAAAGATTTCCTTTTTCCCATCATCTTGATCTCACAAATCCAACTGACCTATCTGCTCATCCTTCAATATTAACCTAACACTAACATTCAGTGTTAGTGACCTATTTATAATCTCATATGTTAACCTAAGACTAACATTCAGTGTTCTTGACCTATTTATAATCTCATACGTTAACCTAAGACTAACATTCAGTGTTCTTGACCTATTTATAATCTCATACGTTAACCTAAGACTAACATTCAGTGTTAGTGACCTATTTATAATCTCATATGGTAACCTAAGACTAACATTCAGTGTTAGTGACCTATTTATAATCTCATATGGTAATCTAAGAGTAACATTCAGTGTTAATGACCTATTTATAATCTCATATATTAACCTAAGACTAATATTCAGTGTTAGTGACCTATTTATAATTTCATATATACAGTTTTTGATTACTATTAAATCCACTTCTAGACCTAATAATCATTTTTAACTTACTGACAAGGGAAGGTGGTAAATCTATGGAATTGCAACACTAAAATCTGGGATTAAATTACCTGCACTGGACACAGCAGATAGCCCAATGTGGCTTTGTTCTAAAATAAACAAACAATGACTTCCTGAAAATCACTTTTAGCTACTGTATTCCTAGCATGTGAAAACTAATTTTTCTTTAGATCCTGTTGACACTTTACCTATTTCCTCTATTTGCGATAATCTCTAATTTCTCCTACAACTTGAAAACCACAAACAAATTTCATATTTTTCTCTACTAGCTTTTTAAAAAAGTGCATGTCAATCCCAAGTTACCAAATATAATCCCCTCCTTGCACCTATCACACTGTCAGCTCTTTATTTGGACTTCGCACAGATTATATAATAGTTATTGTACTTTTCACCCTATGGTCTTGACAGGTGAATGTTTTGAACCAGAGTCCCGAGCAATTATGAAGTACACAAGGTAATTTAATTTTTTTATTGTGCATTGTACAAGTAATGTTCTGAACTGGGGACCCATTAGACCACTAAATCTAAGAACAGGAAAGATGGATACGATGATATGCAAATAACGTTTCATCATGGGGACCCATTAGACCACTAAATCTAAGAACAGGAAAGATGGATACGATGATATACAAATAACGTTTCATCATGGGGACCCATTAGACCACTAAATCTATGAAAAAGAAAGATGGATACGATGATATACAAATAACGTTTCATCATTTTCTAAAAAAAAATCTGTTTTAACATTTTTGCCACCAAAACTAGCTTTGTAACAACATTCATCCCGATCCTAGCCAATTAGAAAGTGGTTATTTTTAAGCTGTTTTGTCTATAGTACAGAGCGGGTCATCTCGTATTGCTATAAATACAAATGGTATAGATTATGAACTTTTAATATCTTACAGTGTTATGTGTAAACTATACTTAGAATTCTACATAAAAATTTACCACTGTATTATGGGCAAGTCGTTGCACTCTTGATATGTAAATTCTACAGAAGCTTATTATGGTAGTGCTGTATGTATAAGGTCAGGTCAAATCTATGCCACATGGAAGTGGCACGTATGATCCAATAGATGAAAATGGATGGTACTGGTGCTGTATATATGTAAGGTATACATGTGTTCATTGATAATTTATTTCATAAGTAAAAAAATAATAATAGGTAAGGATCTCGACTCTAATCCAAAATATTTTGTTACAGTAACATACTCAGATATTTATAAAACTTGTTTCTAAACCTATTTACCACTTTTTAAAAAATACTAAATATCTTCTTAGAATGTAATATATTAATATTTTCAGAGAAGGTTAAAAATTTTATATTTTCAATTTTGTTACACTCGTGAAAAGTAAACTGCATATATGATATTTTTTTATTAATATGCAAAAGATTGCAGAATTTATTTTATCATAATAGAAGAAAACCTGGTTTCAAAGTGAAGACTTTCTGATACCTCACAGTTGTTTATCTTTTCCTAAAGTTATATAAATATTGTCTTATATAAATCTTCTTCAATTGAGATGAAGGAATTGTTCCTGAGATGGTTCTGTTGAACACCAGATAAGTTTAGTATTATTAAAGGTTTTACTAAGCTTTTTAGTCTTGAAGAAATGTCACACTGGTTTATTTCACAGAACATTTTTTTAATTGCTACATGTTTAGACGTAATAAATCTACAATGCAACTATCTCAGTGTGTGTTCAATATGTAATATAGACTGTTTTAAATTGATTATTCATATGTCTGAGGTTTTTATTATTCTTCATCTAGAGGGTAGAGAGTGATTGGATTTCCTGGTGAATTTTGTGCAATGGATGATGAAGCTCCTGTGATCTATGGATTAGAGTTCCAGGTACTATAGCAATAGTTAATGTTTCATAGTTCTCTTGCATGAATTAAATATATATTGTAATACTTTAAAAGAGACCAAGCCAAAAATCCACAGTTTAATCTTTTAGCAGTAATTAACATCAGTTATGGAGTTAGTTGAAATCACTTAAGAGTACCTCTGGTGGCAGTACAGTATTTAAAAAATATGATTCTGAATTGGTTAGTAGTGTTGGTTAAGAATGTTAACAAACTTTAAATTCATCTTTATCATGTTTATCAGCTTATTGTGGTCCATTGGGCTTTAAATCACTTCCTTCCTCTCGCCAGACATTGTCTGGTGATGATTCATTCCAACAATTCTACAGTGGTAGCATATATCAGTCACCAAGGGAGCACCTGGTGAAGATCTCTCTGTTTTTGTACATTGGATCTCCTATGTTGGGCCCACATGCACCACATTCATCTAATTGCATGTCATGTTCAGGATGCTTTCAATCTCGTAGCAGATTGTCTTTTCCACCCCGACCGGGATGTAGAACCTGTAACCAATGTTGACAAAGAGGGAGGGACACAAGGGAAGGGATACTGCAGGGAAAAGTTGCAGTTGATATAATCTTGGAACCACGGTTGAGCTGGCCAATAGGGAGTGATCAGAATGACTCTACACAGAGTGGTATAGATGAGAGAGAGCACCAGATTAAGTAATGGAAATTTGTGGGACCTAACGACCACTCCGTCAGATAAAGTCGCCATTCATGTCCTTCCTCTTCACGCCTGGCTTTTATCCAGTATGTGGCAAGGAGATCAGGTTTCTCACATTGAGTAAATTTCCTTCTGGCTTGTTCCACATGTCCTTCTTGAGTGGAGGTTTATCAACGCAAATGGAAAGTGTTCCACAGTTGGTCCCCTACTCTGAGATTCCCCACTGACCGACCTGCTGTGGCTGAGTTTTTCACATGGTTTTTCGACCAGGGTTCTTCGGTCTCTTCATTCTCAGGTTACTGGGCTGCCTTATCTCATACTTTTTGTTTTTCTCAATACTGTTGAAGTTTTGCCTCCCCTCTTCCGAATGGATTCATTGTTCCCCCAGACGGCATAATCTTCCAGACTGGGATACTAATGTGGTCCTCCATTCCCTCACTTTACCTTAGTTTGAACCTATTTCCTCATGTTCCATATTTCATCTTTCCCTTAAAACATATTTCCTTCTCTTTGCCTGTGGACATCGAAGGTCTGTTTTGTTCACCATTGACATTTCACGTAGGTTTTTTTCATCACACCTATGTTCTCCTTTATCCAGATCATTCCTTCCTCCCAAAGACCTTGGCAGCTAGGGAGAGTAACTCCTCCTTTTCACCTAATTCTCTTCCTTCTATTTCTCATTCTCAACCCTTGACCCGATCGGGATTGATTTCTATGTTCGGTATGTACCCTTTGTTGCTATGTTGCCCGCAGGGCTTCCTTTCATGGTACCTGTTCATGATCTATCCCTTCTACCCTCACCAATTGGGTTCAATGGTTGATTCAATTGGCTTATTCCTCCTTGTCATCTTCCCAAAGGAACTGTTCAGGGTGTCTTTTCATCAGATTTGACACCTCACCTTTTTCCTTGCATCTCGCCTTCTGGGGTGGTCAACCGTGGAGGCACCCTCCTGAATGGGTTCCACACAAAGAAGGCTATAACCATTCAGTACAGAGTCGGGTGGTGGTGTTCTGTGGGTGTAGATGATGTGCTATCCTCCAATATGCAATATAAACTCACAAAGGAGTGAGATGTCAAATTGCAGTTCACCCCTTTGATTGGGAGCCTTCATCACACGCCCACGTGGATGTCAGTACCCGTGGCTGTGTTTTGGATTTATAGTAGAACCAATCAACATAAGTCCTCATTTATGTATATTGTTCTCTATATTCGTCCGTCTGTGTTGTGGGTCACAATGGAGGTAAGCAGAATTGTTATGGTTCTGTCCTTTTTGCTATCCCTTGTCTATTTTATTCCGAGGATGTTATTGCTTTTGGATGGTTCTGGTTGGTTTCGCTGTTGGGGGGAGTAGATTTATATTTAGTAGACATCCTTTTGATACCAGATGTTGGGTCCCCGGATCGATATATCAAAGCGAACACATGTCATGTTCTGGAGTTGGAGTGGTTCTAGATTCCCTCTTGTCCTTTGAACCTGAGTTGAAGATGGTATGATCCTCATCCTACCCCCACATAGATGTTGGTTCCCAGCGGCATGGGTTTTGGATATAGTTGACTTACCGAATACAGTCCTTCATGCCCTAGCCACTCTACACCTAGAGGCATATCCTTTGTTTTATCCACTTTCATGCATTGTGGAATTGAGTTACACATATATTTAGATGGTTAAGATCACCATTCTGCTTCAGTTCTCTCCCACTTGGATGTGCTTTCCACTATTATCTACTACACACTTCACAGATGGGCGAAGAGTATACCTGGTCAGAAGTGGTGCGGTTCCCCTCATCACATCTGACTCCCTTATTTCCAGGGGTATCCTTCGGACACTTTTGGGGGGTACTTCTGTCATTCTCTCACACCGGTCCCTCCACCTAATCAGTGTGGTATTCTAGCTAATCTTGTGATAGGAGGTAAGTACTGTATCAAAAGTTATGATTTTCCTATTACTGAAAATGTATTTCTGATAGGTACTTACCTTTTCTCACACTTCCCACCCTTTCTCCCTGTTTTCTTCTGCTGAACTTCAAAGTGATAGTTTGGTAGAGGTATATAGAGGGAACCAAGTGTCATGTATGTCATGCTACTATTGGTGGAGAAATGACGTGTGATGATTTGCATGAGAGACATGTTGGAATCATTTGATTCCAATAAGGGGGGAGGAGCAGAAGGCTTGTGGTATGCGTAAAGAAAAATGTTTGCATTTAGAGGGCAGCACTGTATGAGAATAGCTAATCTTCTGAGAAGAGGGAAGTACCTATCAGAAATACATTTTCATTATAGGAAAATTATAACTTTCATGTTTATCAGCTTATTGTATACAGAATGTTTCATGTTTATCAGCTTATTGT